CCTCTTCCAGAAATTCGGTCTCTCCAAGCCTGCGATCCTTCTACCGCGATCTCCGCCAACGGCTCTCGTCGCTCCTAACGCCGACATTGGCTATCCCCAAACCTCCACATCCAGAAATTTGATTTCCCCTAACTTCATCTTCTCTAATGCCGACATCTCGAGCCTTCGCCCCACAATTCATCAACTCTACAGTTTCTTCACTGTAGCCACTAATTCACACACCTGCTTTGTCACCGTCATCATCATCTTCATATCCCCACTGGAAACCACCACCAGTCTATTCACAAATCGGTAATATAATAACAGAAAATTCCACCACCCACCACAAGTACCACCACCTTAATCTGGAGGCAAGCCCAATCCTTTAACAATTGTACTGCCCTTGCCTTCGCATACACAAAAATACCACCACCACACCTTAACCAGTCACCTGGCTCACCTAATTCCCATCACCCAGCACTTAGTAGCCACAACCACTGAAGACAAAGAGGACCAGTTTTAAATTACCGAAGCATAATCTATACATCACACATCAGTCCAGCATTTTAAGTTACTGAGGCATCATTTTCAAAAGTGCCCAACCACCATCAGATTCGAGAGCAGCTCGAGTTGTCGCCTCACTCAATTACTCATGACTCAAGAGTATTCTTATCCATATTCCACTAGAGACATACCAAACGGAAAATTATAATTGGGCACAACTTGATTCTTTGGGTCTCAAAGTACATCGCCAGCAACTTCAAGCTCTCATGGGCATCGACTCTACAACTCTACTACAGGGAGTCACTGCTACTATCTATCTTTGGTTTATGCTACTACTTCATTTTAAAATTGCATCGTTTAAATTCTCTGTGTTGCTTTGATATTTTTAGCCTTAAACCCCTCTTGATCGGAGTCATTGAACGAATTGATCCCATTGTTCCTCACTAATCCCGCGTGATTAGAGATTTTGATTAGTTATTTGTACCCTTGCTTTTTATTTTACTCTCATCAGCATTATTAGCTTGCCACGAGGAGCGTCTCTTTAGAAACATTAAGTTAGATGCTCCTACATTTGATGGTTGCTAGACTCAACGTATATACTCAATGGGTTAGAGATATGGATCGTTTCTTCACCTGGTATAAGGTCCTGGAAGATCGGAGAGTTCAATTTTCCAGTCTGAAATTAACTGGCACAATTCAACTTTATTGGGTAAATGTTGAGGATCTACTTGAGAGACTTCGTGCTCCCCTGTTGGAAGTTGGGATGAAATGAAGCGCCACCTTCAGGTTAAGTACTTGCCCCGATCTTACAAGGGTAGCATGTTGGATCAATGGAATGCACTTAAGCGAGGCAATCGACCTGTGACCAAGTACGTCGCTCAGTTGCACGAGTTTTGAATGAGATGTCAAGTTGTTGAGGATGAGGTCATGACCTTGAGTAGGTTTAGGCAAAATTTAAGAGATGATCTTAGGTGTGAACTTGTCCTTCGAGACGTCACCACTCTTGACCACGCCTATCCTTTCGTCCGAAATTACGAGTTAGTGACTTGAACGTTGTATAGAACTTATAGTGACAATCGTACTGCAACCTCTTCTGTGTGTACTCCTCTCCTAAGTCTATTCTATGGCCTCCCCCTTCTAATGCTACCCCTATATCGGATAGTAAAGATAAAGATCTTGAAGTTTCAAGGACATCCTCCTGTTTGCAATGCTTCAACTGTAAGGGTTTTGATCACATTTCTTCTAAGTGTCCTAGCCGCGCCCTAGTTATGGAAGAATGTGAGGGAATAGTAGACAAACCATTAGAGGACCAAGTTTATGAACCTAAGCTAGAAGAGTTTGATGACTTGGATGATAGCGAAGATACCTTCTTAGTTTGTATTCAGACTAGTCCCATTATTCCAAACACGCCTAGAGTCGGTGTCGTACGTTATACTCTTACCCAACCCAAGGATGCCGATGATTAGCGTCGTCATTCCATCTTTCACACTTACATCAAGATCAATAATAAGGGCTGCAACGTTATTGTGAATAGTGGTAGCTATATTAATGCGGTTTCGAGGGCTATTGTATCCTGTCTTAGGTTGAAACCAGTTTCTCACCCTTAGCCGTATAGCGTTTCCTGGGTTGATACGTCTTCTATAGTTTTCAAAGAGCGTTGCCTAGTTCCTATCCAGTTCCTCGAGTATAAGGATTATATATAATGTGACGTCATTTCAATAGATGTCCGGCACATCATCTTAGTGCCACCTTGGTTCGATCACGATGTAACCATATATGGTCGATCCAATTCGTGTTCCTTTGCATTTAATGGAAAGAAGATTCACTTTAACCCACTGTCCCCAAAACCAGTTGGCTCGCAGGAAACAAATAAAAGTAAAGTGATCTAAGGAAAGCAACAAACTTACAAAGGTCCGGCTCAACTTGAAGAAGAACCAAAAATAAGATCAAGAGTTACGAAAGATCAAGGGAGCCATGGAATGAGTTGTCCAAGGTATGGAGGCAAGGGCTCGAGTGTAACAAGCCAAATAACAACTTGTATGTTGGTCATAAAGTTAAAATCAAGTTTGGTACATTGAATTCAAGTTTTGGAAGATATAAGGAAAGACGAGCGGAGTGGATTAAAATGGGTATACTTTAGCTCAGGTGTCGAATTTTTGCTCATGAGTACAATCCGGAATCTTCACAAAATTTTACACAAGAAAAAAGAAGTTTCAAATTTAATGCTGTGTGACCACATAGCATAAAAGGCATGAAATCGCATAGGCTATTCCTGAGACCAAATTGAAGGATTTCAAATGAACTATTCCACTGCATTGGATTACACTATGCAACCACGTAGCATAATTCTTGATGTGAATTTTTCAATTTTCGCGAAATCTTTTATTTTTGTTAAACCGCTAAAATTTGGTAACTTCTGTATTCTTTAGGACTTTTATTCCATTTTGAAACTTTGTTTCTAGGTTCAGTATAAATTGGTTTATTATTCTTCATTGTAAATAAGACTTTTGATATGATTAATCGAGGGATTTCTCGAGAGGCAATTTGCTTCCACATTCTTTGTTTTTCGTTGAACAGTTTATCAAACGTATCAAGAATCGAATTCTTGTGACGTTCAAAACTACTGGGTGAGATTCTCGAATTGTGTGATCAATAGGTCAACAAATTCAATGATTAAGTTGGTTGCTTGGCTCATCGTTCTTGGTTCAGATCTAAAATCAGGATTATTTTTGGCTTTCTTGGGTTCAACAATCTCGTTGTGGATTTCATAACCATCGTTGCTATGCGGGGTTCACATAAAAAATTGTGGCAGAAAAGGGGTTACATGTCATTAGTCCTACGGAGTTTGAGTGCACACTTGTAGCCGATTCTGTTGCATTTTCCATGGTGGTCATCGAGGTTCCATTGAACTCCCCAATAGTAGTCCTCAATGAAACACAGTTATTGCTTTAAGAATTTCAGGATGTCTTCCCAGAGGACTTACCTGACTAGTTATCTCCTCTACGGGCATTCAACATGCCATAGATTTGGTCCTGGGAGTGGCCCTTCTAAACCTACCTAATTATATAATGAATCTTACGGAGCATGCTGAACTTTAGAAACAAGGAGATGAGCTCCTTCACAAAGGATTCATCTGTAAGAGCTTAACTCTTTGTGCAGTTCCCGCCCTATTGACTCCTAAAAAAGACGGCTCTTGGAGAATGTGTGTAGATAATCGTGTCATTAACAGGATCATGGTGAAGTATCGTTTTCCAATTTCTAAGCTTGACGATTTGTTAGATATGATGGTTGGTGTTACAATATTTTCTAAGATTGATCAAAAGAGTAGATATCACCATATTAGGATCCATCCCGATGATGAGTAGTAAACCGATTTTAAAACGAAAGATGGTGTTTATGAATGGCTAGTCATGCCTTTTGGACTAAGTAACACTCCGAGTAACTTTATGCGGGTAATGACACAAACTCTTCAACCTTTCAAGGGTAAGTTTCTCGTTGTCTACTTTGATGACATTCTCATTTATAGTAAGACTAAGAAATAACACTGAGATCACCTCACACAAGTTTGTTCTACCCTCCGTGTAACAAAACTGTATGCTAACGTCAAGAAGTGCTATTTCTTCACCGATAGAGTCGTTTTCCTAGGATTCATTATATCCTCGACACGGGTATCTGTTGACCTTGCCAAAATTTACGCGATTGTTGACTGATCTGAACCTAAGACTATTCATGATGTAGGGAGCTTTCATGGCTTAACTACATTTTACCGTGGCTTTATCAACGGGTTTAGCACCATCATGGCGTCTATCACGAAGTGCATAAAGAAATGAGAGTTTCATTGAACGTAAGAGACGGTTAAGGCTTTTAAGACTAAGTAAGAAGCGAATGACAGAAGCCCCATTCGTCTTCCGATCTTTTCCAAAGTGTTTGAGGTCGAGTACGATGCCTCTAGGGTAGGAATAGGTAGAGTCCTTAGTCAGGAACGCCATCCTATTGCTTATTTTAATGAGAAATTAAATGATACCAAACAACACTACTCAACTTATGATAAGGAATTGTATGCAGTTGTACAAGCATTGCGCTACTAGTACTGGGGCCATTACTTGCTGCCTCAAGAGTTTGTTCTTTATTCGAATCATAAGGTCCTCCGTCAATTAAACTCCTAAAAAAGGTTGAATTCTAAGCATGGTCGCTGGATTAAATATTTGCAGGCCTATTCCTTTGTTTTGAAACATATCAAAGGTGTAGAGATAGAAGCGGCTGATGCTTTAAGTCGTCGTGTCTCCCTTTCGTCGATCATGAGCATCAAAGTCATAGGTTTGAAAGACTTAATGAAGATTACGAAACTTGTCCTAATTTTAAGGATATCTTTCTTGATGTGCAAAGTGGACGATCTGACACTGTGGATAGTTTTCGTCTTGAGAAGAGTTACCAATTTAGAGCCAATAAATTGTGCATCCCTCGAACTTCAATGTGGGATTTCATAGTGTGGGAAATTTATGCGGGAGGTTTAGTCAGTTACTTTGGGCGTGATAAGACCATAGAGGAGGTCGAACGCCAATTTTATTGGCCTAGTTCGAAGAAAGACGTGGCTAAAATTGTTAGTACATGTAACACTTGTCAATTGGTCAAACAGAAGAGGCAAAACACGGTTCTATACACACCTCTTCCCGTCTCTAATTGTTCTTTGCAAGATATTAGTATGGATTTGGTGTTAGGACTTCCACGCACCCAAAAAA